AAGCTGTGGCTCCCCTCCCACACCCGGCATTTGCCCGTAAACAAGAAACATCTCTCTGAGTCTGCCTCCTTATCTGTAGGGCTGGGTCAAAAACTATGTCAGAAAAAATAAACTGATCAACAGTATTTAGGGAGCTAGACAGAAGAACTAATAATCCACAAGGAACAAAAACAATAACTTAAAATACAGATTTGAGTTACACAGCATTTGCATGGATGGGTCAAAATCCAGCAAACTGGTTCATTGCCAGTAAAATTCATATCGAAAGAGAAAAATAAGCACGTACTGTCTATCCTCTGGTTGATGAGGATACATGCATGTTGGAGAGCTTGGGAGGAGAGCACTCAACAGGTTTGGGTGACTGTGACATCCCCCCAGAGACTCATGTGTTTGAACACTTGTTTCTCAGCAACTGGTCCTGTTTAGAAACATCAGAAGGCGGAGCCTTGCCGGAGTAACTGGGCCACTTGGGAGCAGGTCCTAAGGGTTACAGTCTGGCCCTCCTTCCTTCCTGAACTCTCTCTGCCTCTTGACTTCCACACAATGGGACTGTCTCAGGTTCCAGCCACCACAGAACAGCCCGCTGCTCTTCCTCCACCAGCACGACAGACTGTATGCCCTCAAACTGTGAGCCAAGAGGAAGCCCCTCCTCCCCTCCTTTGTTTCTTGTCATATATTTGGTAGTGATGGAAAATAAATGGCTAATGCAGTTCTGATACCCACAACTCACTTTGAAAGGCACCAGAAAACAGGATGGATACCCAGACAAGGGGTAGAGATACCACACCACAAAACAACTGCAAAATCTAGGTAGTTAGTAGATGGCTGCACTGCTTCAAGTTTTTCATAACCAAATGTCAAAAATAATCAAAATTAGCACTATTATTCTTATCTAATCAAATCACAGCCTTTAAAGCAGTTCTGTCATGGTGTTTTAGACGATACTCGCTGGTCAGCTGTTGATCATAACCATAGCTAGCGATCATTGGTATTCTTTGCTCAGCTCAGCATCTTTGGGCCGACCCTGTAAAGTCATTGTCACTGCACTGACCACTCCATTTCACCAAGAGGGAAGTGGTGCCCTGGGAGACCACACAGCCTTGCCAAACCATCAGCCAGGAGGCTATTTTGAACCAGCGAGAACCAGACGTAAAAACATGACAAAGGCCATTGGTGCCATTCAGGGAGATTCTATCTACAGGTCACCTGAGACTCCCGGGTTCTGTTTATATGCAGCTGTCCGAGCCACCTGTAAGCTTCCTGGAACCAGAAAAACGTATCAGCATCACCATTGCCTATAACAACTACCTTCCTGTTTTCTTTGCAGTAGTGGATATTCAGTTCAGGACCCAGCTCCACCATTTAGCTGTATCTGCAACCCTTGTGTTTTCTTAGTGTATTGTTTTGGGGTGACGTGTGTGTGTGTGTGTGTGTGTGTGTGTGTGTGTGTGTGTGTGTGTGTGT